GCGGGGGGGGGGGGTGTAGCTTTCCCCTTGCCGTTGCCCCCCGCCCCCGCTCTTGCTGGGCTCCCGGCGCTGTGAACGGCGGCGTCCATCTCTGCTTCTAAGCGCCGCGTGGCCTCGAAGTCTACCGTTCTGCCGATCAGCTGTTGTCGGTGGTGTTTTAGACGGGGTGCGGGGGGGATAAAAGGTCGGTATAGTCTAATGAGTACATTGCACACGTTGGAGCGTGCCGTGTTTGTTGGTGTTGGTGTTCGAGGTGTTCTCTCGTCAGGTTCAGAAAGGGGAAGGTGATAACTAGCACACAAACGCCTGATAGAGATACAGGAACAAGTGCGAGGGGAAAGTTGGCATGCACGCATGGACCGCGTCACCATCTGAGCCACGCCAATTGCGCCCCACCCCCCACCCCTCGCATTTCCTCTCGCTTAATATGACACGGCGGTGCCCCCCCCGGTTCGCCTTCTTACCGACGTGAAGTAGGCCCTGGGAAAGTCCTCGCCCGCGAAGCCCATCTTGCACGAATATGATCCGACATCCCCCACAATGGCTCCGACATCGTCTTGTTGGAAAAGGGGTGAGGGGAGGGAGGGGGGGTACTCATACCTACGCATGCCGTTGTCGTTAGACCATGGGGAGGGCTCAATTGGTGCGTTCCTTGATGGTACGTTGGCCGTTAGCCACGCGCCCCTTTCAGCACGGAGCGCCGGGTCCTGATCATAAAAAACAACTCCATTCATATCGTTGTTCAAATATTAGCATTGACCGCCTACGGCCGGCTGGCCAATCAACAGACGTTAGTCATATAGCGGGAAACAAACGATCACGTGTATTGTGTCTTTGCTGCTGTATCCCAATAATCTGGAGGTCGATTTTTTTTACCTCTCGGTATGGTTTTTCGGACGCACCCGGCCGGGGTCACACAGCAGGACGAAGAACACACGCGGCGGGGGCTCTAAATGCTTTAACTTTTGTGGACGGGGATGGATGTGGGGGCCGTGGCCGCTACGGTCTGCGAGTAGACACGAAACGCCTGCTTTCGACGGGACCGAGATTTTGCTTTGTAAGCCTACAGTCATTCCTCATCCACAGATTCAATCTCGATCGGTTGTTTGCGTGTAGGCGGTTGCTCTAGACTACGGATCAATGACTATTCAAGAGAGCCCTCGCTGCCGTTGCTTGTTTCAAGATTACAGGTGCCCATCGACTACATGCAATGTGGGCAGAATCTTGCAGGCGGAACATAACCGCGCAGTTGCCCAAATCGTCGAGTCAAGTACTGCTGGTGCGAGTACGACGCAGAGCTTGTGAATCGCCAAAAGCGTGTGATGCTGGGTTCTGGCAAACTGCTCCCTATCGACGCATCAACTACCCTACTGCTGTCGGTGCTCTCTCTTGTGTGTTTGTCTGCCTGCCGCTCTGTCCCTCTCATTCTCCTCCCATGTATTGGCCAGCCGCATGCGCTGGGTTTGACAAGAAAAAAAATACAGCCCTCGAGGACGAGACACACATATTTTCGGCTGCCTTGCGATCTACTGATAAAGCAAGGGTGGATGACTCCGCGTGTTATGCGTGCATCGAGAGACGGTGTGCCACGCAGAGGCAGGTAGGTACCCTGGTGGCGCTGTTGCAAACGGAGAGAGGGCGATGGAGAGAGAAAGAGTCGGCCTCTTGTCACAAAAAAAAGCTGCAGACCTTGTATTTTATCATCTCAAAAATTTCTAGAGAATTGAATCTTCTAAAGGACTAGCGCCTTGCCGACTCGCCCAAAGATGCATCAGCTCACCTCCTCCACAGTACATGGCTGCCCCACGCGTGCACAGCAAGCAGCTATGCTACGTGTGTACGGCAGATCGAGCACACCAGATCCGACAGGATGGGGGCGCGCTGGGTGAGAATGCCCACCCCCCCGAACAGCTAGTGCATTCGGCGGCCCGGACAACACACAGTCCCGCCGCGCTGCTGGGTGGCAGCAACATCAGCAGTACTGCTGTGTGCTAGCGCAGTGTGAATAAAGATGCGCCCAAGCAGCGGCGTTCGTGCCGTGGCAAGGCCCGGTCCTGGAGACGATGTCGATCTGGAGGCTCTCCAGGATGCGTTTTTGAGGAGCGCAGAGAGGCCGTCGGCAAAGGTTTCTCGCGCAAAGGTGATTGGTCATTTTTTGTGAATCGTCCAGACTACGGCTGTATCTTTACAGCTTTGCGGTCATGAGGCGACGACGTCGTTGATAGTGTTGCTGCTGTTGCTTTGTCTCACGGTTTGTAGGATTATTGATTTCGCCATTATATCTCGCAACCACCAACAGCGACCATTATTGGTTGCAGACTGGACCTGCGTGTGAGGCGGCGTTATGCTGCGGCAATTGGTGTCCCAAAGCCCAGCCATCCAGGCCGGCTTTTTTTCACGGGACTGTCAGCTTTCTTCGGAGGCACAAGTGAGTAGCTACAGCAGTAGTGAGGTATGAGGTGGGACGGCGAAGCACACAAAAGGAGAGATGGACGCACGGGGGGGGGGAAGCGCAATCAAAGCTGGCAGAACCGCTGAGGCCAGCAAAAGGTGTACACTCTAATGTCTACGACTCAGCCGCTCACATATCTCAGGAGGGGGTCCAACCCCGCCCTCCTATGTGACCCCGGTTGGGTCGTCTAGCTGGTGGAAGTGGAGGATAGAGGCCAGAGGGGCAGACGACAGAGTCCAATGGTGGGAGAAAAAAAAAAAAACTGTGTTGGTCCCTCCTCTCTCGCTATTCTTGGGTCGATGGGGAAATGGTTCGACCGGCCGTGGCTGATCTGCCCCCAGCTTTGCTTATGTCCACCACACCATTCGCCTTTCACGCGTGGTGGCACTTGGTCGCATCCGGCATTATTTTTCCCTGCTTAATGCCATGTTCCAAGCAGTGTGCTAGTCTCTTGTGTTGCCAGATTTCGCTCATAATGCTAGTGCTGACACCAGGTATGCATGAGTAGTTGCAGTACGACCCCTCCCCTTCATCCCCGAATAAGAAGTGCCGGAAACCACCCCATGTGATGCCAACGACAAGGACAAGGTTCCTGCTGACGCGACGATTCTCTCCGCATCACGACGTGCGCACAAGCAGCCGCCAACCGTAAAAGCCGGATCCTCTCTGGGGGTGAGAAAGGAGGACGACGACCCCCGCAGCGGCAGGGGCGGCGCTGATCACGCGAACGCGCCGCCCTCGAATGGCGGTGACGCGGCGGCGGTGGCCGTAGCAGCAGCGCCGGCGATTTCCTCGGGGGCCCAACCAACCTGCGGCAGCAATGACCGCGAACCCCCCCATAGTCTAGGCGGCATGGCCCCGGAAGAGAGCGAGAAGAGTCCGCTGACGTCGGCCTCGTCGCCAACGGGGGGGATGATCCTGAACGCCCCCGGGGTGGTGTCAAAGAGCGTTCGCGAGAGGGAGGTCAAGCCGCCGGCGCCGATGAGAATAGGCGGCTTCGCCGGCGGCGCTGGCGCTGGCGGGGTGATCGTGACACGAGGAGACAAGCAGCGTCTCGGACTCGCGAAGGGAGCGAAGCACGGAATGGCGGCAGCGGGGAGCGGTATCATCGGAGGGTTCCCGGCGGCGCGCCACCGCTCAGAGATGGGCCTCGTTAAGCTCGGGGCGGGTGCTGCGGCCGCTTCTACTGGTGCCCCCCCCGCCACCACCCCTGCTACCGCTGCCGCTGCCGCTGCAAAGGAGAACGCAGCAACCGAAAGAGGCGGCCGTGGCGGGGCCGTCAGAGGCCGCGGTGGCGGCGGCAGCGGCGGCGGCGGCGGCGGCGGCAGCGGCAATATCCCCGGCGACATCCACGAAGAGAACCTGTCGCGGATCTCGGCCATGTCCCCGGACGAGATCGCCGACGCGCAGCAGGAGATCCGCGCGGCGTTGCCGCCCGGGGCGCTCGAGATGCTCCTGCGGCGGGGACGGGGACGGGCAGGAGGTGGAAAGACCGCCGGTTGCACTTCGGCGCCGTCGGCAGCGGCAGCGGCAGCGGCGGCGGCGGCGGCGGCGGCGGCGGCGGGAGAAACGAAGGCCGGCAGCGAAGAGAACCACCGCGCAGGGAGGAGGAGGAGTCCGGTGCTGGCGACGACGAGCCACGGCGAGTCGACGGCGCCGACGGGAGACGAAGGCGACCGCTCGAACGGCGGCGGTCCATCTCGGTCAACAGCTACCGCGACTGGCGATGCGGCTGCCGCCGCCGCCGCCGCTGCTGCTGGTGGTTCTCCGTCGAGAAAGACGACAAGCGGGGCGCCGACCGGGGCGCAGCGCGCGGCGACCGCGGCCGGCGGGATTGACTCCAAGGAGGCCCTCGAGGCCGCCCTTCTCACCCTCCCGCCGGAGGAGAGGGAAAAGTCACGCTGGACTCTCACCGCCGGCGGGGACGCGGCGGTAACAGCGGCGGAAGCGGCGGAAGCTACAGCGGCTGTCGGTGGGCCCGGCGGCACCGGTGGGCGTGGGGCGGGCGACGAGGCTCGGGTTGATCTGAACGGTGCGGTGGTGGTGCTTGCGGGAGACGGAGGTGGGGGGTCCGCGGGGGATGGGGGGGGGGGACTCGAGGCGTTGCATCATCACGGGGACGATCCTGACAAAGCCGGGTATACCCCATCCGAGCTAGTGCGGCTGGCGAGGTCCGTGACGGTGAACCGGGCAGGATGCCTTGTGTGCGTGTGCGTGCTCTTTTTGTGTATTTTCAGATTGGCGTGCTTTTGCGTCTTTTCCCCATTCGTCTGTTTGTTTTGGAACGGTCCACGACGGGGCTGTACCCCGCAGGGCCGGAGGGTAGCCGAATGGAAGATACTTTTATTTTTTTGCTGTAGTGTGGGCCGGTCACTCCGCCCCTCAAAATACCACGTGGAACTCGGCGCTTTTCGCAGGAGCGGCGGGCTCCCTCTATTTTCCTGTTGTACGCATCGACACCTTCAACAGCAACACATTTGATCCCACCGCGTTGCGCTACGCTGCGGTCTTGTCTTCCGTTCCGGTTTTGCTCGTCTTCTTTTTTTTTCTTCCGCGGCCTGGGGGGTGGGGGGGGGGGGGGGGG